GTAGGAATTAATATGTATTACAAGGAGGGAGCTGCATGCGCAGTGCTGTTTTTGTCCTAATGAATTTCGTCCTAAAACACTGTTTGAACTTTCTGGATATCTCTTTCATAAGTCCATTGCAACAAACAATTTTTTTGAACTGGGAAAGCTGGCACCCACCAGCACTCAAAGGGGGAATACCGATTGGACAGTAGCTCTGCGTAAGACTAAACTGAAAGCTAAAACCCTCAGTACACAGTTTAAAGCTAAGGGATACCATAATTGATGCTTAAAGGAAGCATATAGAAGGGCACTTCTGACTGAGAGAGGACTTACCAACAACATCAACATCATAAGGTGCATATAGTCAAAACTATCTTGGAAAGATTTTGGCCCTTAATATACCAAGACATTTACAACAAGTAGTTACTCCCCATGTTTCTATTACAGCCAGAAGGGGGCGTAATCTTAAGCATACCTTGGCTCCGAGTTTTCCTACTGTTAAATCATCATGGCTTTAATCTCCCCCAATTGGAAATTACCAATGTGGGAGATGTAAAGCTTGCAAATACATCCAGCGGCATTCCAACTTTACGAACTCTACCGATTCTGTGTCATGGTTCTCGTGACATCCAGACGGTCAGACGTGGTCGCCACAGGAGTGCCCAAAAGGGGATTTGAATCTGGGTCCTTCGTGTCCTGGGCCACGACAGATTCGGTTCCAGATTCCTGGCTTTGTCTGCAGCACTTGGGGGCTGGACTCCATCTGTGGCTGATACCTGTGCTTCAGCTAAGGTAGATCGATAATCAACCTGGTATTTAAACACTGCCTTGACCTGGGAACTTTGTCAGTTTTTTTATTCTGATGATCGTGAATTGTTCCTGTTTTGTCTCCTGATACTTGTTCTCCAGATTGACCCCCGGCTCCTGACCTTGGCTTACCTCCTTGTTTATCCTGACCTCTGGCATCCGCTGACTTTGGCTTATCCTCGACAATCCTTCTGCTTGTGTCCTTGTCTGTACTGTGAATTGGAGCACCTTTCATGCACAGCCCTCGTGCACAGATTCACAGTCCTGGTGGTTTCTAACCTTATCACCTTGGACTGTGTTCATCTGCAAGGGTGAGCACAAATATCTGCCTACCGGACTCCCACCCAACATTCTGAAACTTTTACAACGAATACATTCTTCAATTGTGAAACGATGGGACTGGTATATCTGCTTAATTGTAGCTGCCAGATTAATTATGTAGACAAGAAACGCCATGCCTTTAAAAGAAGAATACTAGAACATGTGAAATCTGTCAACCCTTCTAGGCATATTGATACCCCTATCTAAAAACACCTCAAGCTACATCATAGGGGCTCTTCGGATAGGTTGCATTTCTGTGGCATTGAATGAGTAGTTTTGGGACCTAGGATGGGTAACCTGACTAAAATATTACTCCAAAGAGAGAGTTATTGGATTTTTAAACTTAAAACTCTGTCACCACTAGGGTTGAATTAAGGTTTCTCTCATACATTGTTCATCTCAGACTGAATTGCCTCCCTTTAATCAGCTATAGTAGTACTTCTCATTTCTTATACAGTATCTAGTTCAACTTATATTTTCACACATTTTCATTATATTGGGATATTTTTGTTTATTCATTTTGTCTTTTATAGAATAGGCATGCCCCAGAAATTATGGTTTGTGTTGTCACAGTGGTGTCTAATATGAATTTTAAACTATATTTGTAAGATGGTTTATTATGACACTAATCTTTACAATAAGGTCTCTGATTAGTTTGTTATAGCATTATTATTACTTTTTATTTATTTTATTATTTTAAAAAAAATGTTCATTATCATTACTATTTGCGTTTATTTATTCCTTTGCTTTGGATAGTTCATATTAAGTACAGCATATCCTAGTGAGTTACAATTTTGCGCAATGTTGATTTTTCATGAGAATCTCACATACACTACAATCGTGAGGTCTCTCATTGCATAACATGGTAAGACAGTCCCCCCACCCAAAAAGAACTGATCGGCTTCTTTGTACTTTTGGGACTGCGCCAGATTAATTAATTACTCCGCTAGCGGCTGAAGATAGGGACGTTTATATACACAGTGAAGATATGTTTAGACTTACCTACCCATTTATTTATTGATTTACTCGTCAGGGGTATTTATCATTTATCTAAGGGATCGGGATTAAGTATTCCCTACATATTTCATGTGACCCAGATCGCGTAATCGCTAATTTCTAGTTAGAATTTACATAGACTTTTGTCTTATCCCTGCGGGACGTGAGGATACTGTGTTGCCTTACCAACAGGTGTTCCAACGTGTATTTATTTATTATCCACTAATTTTATTTTTTAACGAGATCTTAGTTACGAGCACTGCACAATCTGTTTGAAAATTAGTCTTCATGTATTTTTCTGCCCAGCCGTTTCTGCTTGTGAGCATTGGTTAGTGGTGGCCGAATAGAAGGTTTATGCACAGTTGCAAGACTCTGGAGGACTCTACACCTTGATGTCAGTGGGACTCCAGAGGCACCAGCAGCTTCAAATATCTGTTTGCTGCTATGTAATGGTATTTTAGCAGCTGCTTTCTTGATCCGATGCATGGATCTGGCAGAAATCTTCCTCAATGTGCCTTTATCTGCACACACCCGTCTGTGCTCTGAATCAGCCACAAATCTTTTAATAGTGTGATGATCACGCTTAAGTTTTCATGAAAATCTAATGTTTTCATACCTCGTCCAAGGCATTGAACTATTTCACTCTTTTCGGCAGCAGAGAGATCCTTTTTCTTCCCCATATTGCATGAAAATGGTGCTCTGCTTAATAATGTGAAACACCCTCCTTTAGAAGTTTTTCTTGAAATTGGGATCACCTGGCAATCTAATTATCACAGGTGTCCGAGATTGTTTTCAGTGATCAAAAGAGCCATGAGACACAATGCCATCCATGAGTTAAACTGAAAAACAAAATATTTAATCTTTGTGACACTCAAATAGAATTTGCATAATAATTTGGAACAGGGTGTATATAGAGGAGACTATTCTAGTTCACTATTTTTCCCTGACGAAGGTGCGCGTGTATTTGCACCGAAACGTGCGTCGGGTTGTTTTTGCTATGGGGTGGTTACTTTTATAATTTTTTTTCGGGCACTTTACCTCACTATGTTGTTACACTTTGTGAATTGAAAGAGTTGTATGACTAACTCTGCTGGAATTATGATTTCAGAGACTTATTTTTTTTTTCTCTTTCCTTTTTGCTCCTATGCCTGTCTAGTTAGATGTTAAGGGAGAGAGGCTGTGTCTACATACTTTGAATTTTCCTGTTTATACTTCTATAAGCTAATTAACTTTTTCAGAAATTGATGCCAGTATTTTTTGTCCTCTCTCCCATTGTTTCATAGTATTTTTCATGGCGATTTATGTTTTATAGTGTGGTAATTGGCCTATTAAAATAAAGCCTATAGATACACACTCGGATATTAATTCTATGGTATGTCATTTTTATAGCTTCCATCCTGTCTCTGCCCTCTATCTAAGCCATATTAGATTAAGGCTTAGGAGAAGCATTTTTTTTTTTTTTATTCTTTATTTTTCAGTGCAAAGCATCATCCTTACAGCTTTCAACATAGAGAGGCTCTTATGCAATTGGTATATAGGTTAGGTCACATTGTATTCTTGCACCATTTGTATATAATAAATCATTGTAACGGCACCCTCAGCATAAAAGGGTTAAACCACCGTTTAGTAGATCTTCCCTTCCAGAGACACAGGCACAGCTACTGCAGAACACCAATCCGCCGAACAGGAAACCATATGAATGCCGCAAACAGCCGAATAGGAAAAACCATACGAATAGGTTTAGACTCCTAGCAGTCGAACTGGAACAGCATACAATAAATCCCCCCAAGAACGAGACAAGGCTCGGTTTTGAAGGTCAAGCAGGAACAGCCAGAGCTGTGGGTTTATTGTGCTTATGTACACATTCTTACACATTAGTACCACCAATAGGGTTTTGGAACACAACCAATAAACATATACAATACACTCAGACACTCCCACACAAAATCCTCCCCTCTGCCTGTGATACAATTACCTTACACAATGGGAACAGCCAGAGCTGTGGGTTTATTGTGCTTATGTACACATTCTTACACATTAGTACCACCCATAGGGTTTTGGAACACAACCAATAAACACATACAATACACTCAGACACTCCCACACAAAATCCTCCCCTCTGCCTGTGATACAATTACCTTACACAATGGGTAATGTAATTATAACAAGCAGAGAAATACAATTTTTCCACATTATTCATAACTTGAAAAGCATGCGTCACATTCACTTACATTTTCAGAATCAGCATACTCCAAATACAAACATATGTCAAAATCATCCAAATTGATCCAGTGGTTCAAAAGATAGATCGTAGTCCTTTGTGGCCAAAGGAAGCATGGCTTTTCTGCCCAAAACCAGTTCCACAGAGTCTTCTATCCTGGAGATAATTTTGAAGTAATCCAATTATCTCCAAGGAGAGAGGCAAAACTCCATTGAACACATGGCAGCAAAAGACAATAAAACACATAAAAACATATAACTGTGCAGCCATTGCACAAAACAGGTAGATCTGAGCGCACATTATTACTGAATGAATGGCGCTCAGACCGCACACATACAGTTCAATTGCCATGGAGCCAAAGTCTTTCACATAGTCTTTCATTATACGAATGGGCTCCATGGCATAGCTATCTGGGGTATCACCGCTCAAACAGGGCAAGCACCAAATGACCCGGCTTTCATGTCTTTGCAGGGGAAAATCAAGCCTTTTAACATGGGGCTATAATCCAAAGGCAACAGGTGAGCAACCAGGCTTCTCCAATGCAATGTGGCGAGATTGGTCTCGTCACAATCATGTTTGTGTAGGCCTTGGTCTCTAGCCTGTCTCCCCTCTGTTTTCGGGGTGTATTGTATCCTAGCTGATCCGTGGATGAGAGTCAGTGTGCTGTGGTTGCTCATGGAAGGTCCTGGAGTTGGGATGCCCAGCTTGTGGGTTTGTGAAGTGGCGTGTTGTGTAGCCTCGTCGGGTACAAGGTGTGTGGGTTATGTTTGTGTGTTTCACTCCTGGGGGAGTGTTTGGTTCTGCGCCTTGTATTGCTTTTAGTGGTTCCTAAGCATGGGAGCAGCGAGGGGGGGGGAGGATGAGTGAGAGATGCAGAGGTTGTCTCTAGCGTTACATGTGGTGGGGTGTTGTCTATCCCCATTACGGGGGATGGAGCCGTGGTGGTGTTCCCAACCTGGGGTGTCATGCACGATTGCTTGCTTTGTTCTTGTGTTTGTGTAGGTGAACAATTGCATAATCTTAAGTATAGGGTATGGGGGAGGGAGGGAGAAACTGGGAGAACATGAGGTTATACGTTATCTAAGTCATGTCCTTAGTAAAGTCCTGAATCGACAGTCCCAAGGCGAGCTTAGACCCAGCAGGTGTGGCTGGCAGGTTTTCTGCCGAGCAGCCTTCTGATGTCAGATCTTTCCCGAGGTTTGAATTCGGTCCCGCTGTTCCAGCAGTCATCGATCTTGGGACGAAGGGTGTTGCGTGTGCCGGATCCCAGACTGATGTAGAGGTGGAGGCTCTCGGTCCTGTGTTATCCAGTAAGTGTGTCAGGCCCAGGGCCGTCAGGAACGGTGTGGTGTCTTCCATTGAGGGAAGTGTTTGAATGCTGCCATTTCTGGTCACTGTCAGGGACCCGTTCGCTCCCCATCTGTAGCTTATGTTGGCTGACTGAAGCTGGCTAGTCACTGGTTGGAACGTTTTACACCACTGGAGGGTTGCTTTTGTGAGATCCTGGTAAAACGTCAGGGATGCTTCTTCGAATTGCAGGGGGGTTTTGCCCTTTAGTGCTGACATTATGAGTATTTTGTTGTGTGTTGTGGCGCACCGGAAGATGACATCCCTCGGTACCGTTGTTGATGTCCCTGTGGGCCCTGGTAGGCGGTATATTTCCTCGGTTGTCAGTTTTTTAGCCATCACATGTGGCAGGAGGGAGGTCAGTAAACGTCTGACATAGTGAGGGAGCTCGTCCGCTGTGACTGCTGTTGATATGCCCCTTATCTTAATATTGGTGCGGCGGTGGCGGTCTTCCATGGCCGTTATTTGAACTGAGATGGCTCTTTGATGGGACCAGATTTGTTGGACCGAGGTCTGGAGCTTGTGCATCTGTGTTTGGATGTCTGCAATGTCTCTCTCCGAGGCCTGTACCCGGTCTGTGATGGCCTTCATGTCATTTTTTATTGGAGCGAGTTCAGCAGCAAGTATTTTATGAAAGTCCGCCAACAGGACCTTTAGATCTTGTCTGGTCGTTGGTGTGGAGTCTTCAGGTGAGTGTCTGTCAGCTGTGCAGCCTCTGTTTGCTCGTTTAAATGAGATTGGGTGTTGGGCCACGTACTGGCGGCATGCTGTGTGGACTCCGCCGGTGCGGATCGGGGCTGAACAGGTCTCTGGAACATCGTCGGCCCATTGCTGGTGTATGGGTTATGGCGTTGGGTGATGCCTGGGGGGAGCTGTCGTTTACACGCTGTAGTAGGAGCGCTTCCAGGCTCGGCAGGGATAACGTGGGGTAGGCCCCGGCTTTCCGTCTCCATCCGGGCTGGGTCTTCGGTTGAAAAAAAGGCATCTATCACCTAGGGGAACGTTGAGGGTCTTAGCTGATAGCTTTTGGGGTCTGGCTGGGCTTTAGATTTTGATTTATTTAAGATTTTTGGTGTTTGTTCGGAGGAGCTTGAAAGCATGGAATCTGCTCAGGGTGATGGTCAAGCTCCGCCCTTCAGGAGAAGCATTTTTAAGGCCTGTAACTATGTCCCAAGTATGTATCATATAGATTAGTGTTATTCACAACAAGTTACTGTTTCTATTTTCCAGGCAGCATCCCCTCAGTGTGTGAGGTGTACATATTTTCTTTTTGCATTTATTATACTAAAGGGTTAAGCCCAGAGGTACCCTCACTGGTGATCAGATTCTGTAGATAGAGACACTAACCCCCGGGTGTGTGTCTACCCGCAGACTCTCCCCGCGGACTTTGTTTCATTTGTTTTCTTTTCTCACAGAAGCTCCTAAACTGAGGAGGCGGGGAGCAGACGTGGCTCTTTAATTATGCCATTTATCTTGCTGCCTATGGTCTTGCACTTACTGGGGCCTCGCGGCCTCCTAAACAGCCTTGGTGCACAGTGACCTGTCGGATCCTCGGTTTGTGACCAAGGATCCGACAATAGGACGGGACCCGGTGGCCCTTCCATTTAGTCTGAGCATGTGTGCAGAGCTTAAGACCATGTGGCAAGTGTGTCGCGAGCTCTGGCCAATCACTTTAGACACTGCAAGCCTCTAAACAATGAATACAGACGCTAGCTCTTATATCATTATACACCCACAATACAACCCCTATTTTTGTTTTACTTTGGATGTTCGTGGGGGCCTCATGTTTGAGTTTCACCTAAGGCCTCACAAAGTCTGGAGCCGCCACTAGCAAAGGGGCGGCACTTTGGGAAACCCAGATCACAAGTCAAATAGCGCCTTGTAGTGGTTATGGTGCCAGGAGTGTCCAGTTGCCCTCCCCCCCCCCTCCTTTTGTAAGTTGTCAAACTATTTTAGAGCGATTTCACTTCTTATATGGGATCTGTGAGATGCCACTACAGTTTTCAGAAAGCAGGAAGCTTCTGCTTTGGATTTTTCCATTAGCTCTACTGTGCTTGGAACTGCAGTGCAGGCTGAAATCGTCAGCTGATCGTTCATAGCCAATAAGCTTCACGCTCTCTAAAGGCTGCACTGCCCGGTGAATCCCAGGTAAGAACTCAAATTGTTCTAAAATAGTTCAACTACTTACTTTATGAAGTGGCACGGCAATCCTGACATCAAAACCACTACAGCGCATGGTGTGTCTCTTTGAAATGTTAATTGAATTTTTATCTTTACATAAGTTTTATTTGAATTAAAATTATATCTGAATAAGAATAAAACTATTTTGATTGAAGCATCAATGTGTTTTAAAGATTACAGTTGTGTCTGCAACAGAATATCACAATGTGACTTCCTGATGATAACATACATACAAAGAAAGAGCTTGTTAGTTCACATAGGTCAACCTAGGTCACACAGGTCAATATTCTTTGACATGTATTTAATAAGCAGGAGAATTAGCAAAATATAGAGTGTAGACAAACTCTCTATATCTCAGAATTGTCTCAGAATTGTCAGTATGTAAAATTACTAAAAATCAGTTAGAAATGAATAATTGTTATTAAAACTGGGAAAACACAAAAACTGTAATAGAGAGATACAAAATAAAACTGCTAATTTTACACAAAATAACTCTGTGGGAGATTTATTAAAGTGTTCTGAAAATACAGTGTTTTGTTTTTTAAAATCATTACTTTGATCATGTGTTTTAAAATGATCTAAAAATGACAGTTGTCTTCTTAATAAAATCTGACAGTTTTAGCAAAATAATTCAATTTTAGAAAACCCCAAATTTTGTGAGGCAGAAAAACAGTAGTGGTAAGAAAGATATATTTTGGTTGCGTATATTCAAAACAATGCTTGTTAGGCCACAAAAAAAAAGCAATGGATTAAATAAAAGCAACCGATTTAATAAATAGTGTTAAAAATTTACCAAAAATTAAACACCACTGTTATAGAGACTTGTACTGCGGAACTGAACTGTTTTGCCTCAGTTATTAATATGAATAACAACTGTATTTCTCAATATGTTGGTACCATCGTGAATTTGTCACTGTTCTACTGTATATAAGTCTTTTTTGCTGGTTTTGTTATTGTATTGGTGTCTTCTACTGGAATAAATAAAGAATTTATAAAAAAAAAAAAAAGCCACAAATTAGACGTAACAGTGTTGGCGACACTTCTAAATCCCCCCCTTTATGTTTAAAACGTGACATACCTGCTTCTGAAGGAAGCACTGTAAGAGGAACATCTTTACTTTGCAATTTATTCGAAGGCCCTGCTAAAGACTGTATCTTTAATGGAAACGGTATCTGGGGAAGAGTGGAACTTTTGACTACATCTGACACTGATATTGGTTGGAGTTGCACCATGGTCGCCGGCGGGAGGGCATGAACAATTATTGGCTTTCCTAAGTCTTTGGAGATTGAACTAAACATGTCTTGGTGCTGGGCAATTTGATCCTTTTTCTCCAACTGCTCTGCGATTTCGTCATCGTCATTTTTTTCTGTTTTGATTTTTCTTTTATTTGATAAGAAACAAGTGATGCTGGGGATGGTCTGATTGTTCCTCTGCTGTGTGTCCATGTGTTGGCCAGTTTGAGTACTGGCTGCACGATAATGGCCCCAGGAGTGGCCAATGTCAGGGAAAGCCGCCTCCTGACCAGTCATTTCTCTACCACCATTGAAATCACTCACTATCTGACCACTCACCGCCCTTGATTTTAATAGGGCCCTTTCAGTCTGTGTCTGGCCGGTTTTATAGAGCAGCCCACGTTTCTGTTCCTTTATATGTATAATCTGGGTGGCTGGGAAGGGCTCCTCCTCGGTTTGGTCCAAATTCAGACCTCGGATCTCCCACACCATCTCCATGGGCCCTTGGACATCTTTCTGCCCCGAGTTTGCAGACAGGCCCGGAGTGTTCATGCCCTTCTTCAGTGATTTCTCCCAAAATCCTCCCTGCCCCACTTGGTCACCGCCCGCAGCGAGGCTCACCTAACGTCCTCCGCGGCCACCAACGTCCTCACACCGCGCATTCAAACGGGGCTCCGCGCTCCGCCTCGCTCTCTGCGCCACGCCCACCGGTTTGCTCCGCCCCCGCCGACTGACAGCCAATAGGCGCGGGCTCTGAAACTGCGCAACTGAATACTAGATTTAGTAAACGTGGGCTCCGCCTCCAACACGTCAAATAATAGTGTGGGTATGACGTCACAGCTACCCCAATCCAGCTCTCCATGAGAAAAGATAATAAATTATAAATCATAGCTGAAATAGAATAATACAATGAAATCATTCACAAATAGTCACTGTTTCTTCCTGTTTAATGTTAGGACAAGTAGATATAGCAATACATTATGAGCTAGCACTATACTCTGAATATATTGATAATAAGTAACTATAACTGCTCTCTCTACATGCTAAGTGTTACTGTATATGTGTCAGAGTTTCTCTCATGTCACACAGTGCTATGTATTCAGTGATGTTGCCATGGGAAAATAGTATTTAGTGACTTTTATTATAATACTGTAACTATTATTTTAATAATGCAATGAAAACTTATTCAAAATGGGTAACTATTGGACATTTTAAAAAATAAAATAAAATTCGCTGTAACACGGAATGTATGTCTACTGAGTTGTGGATGTGTACTGGATTTATAATTTTGAAAAACTTCAATAAAATACAATAGGAAAAAAAATTAAAATTTGCGGACATGTTTAGTGAATCCACTAAGTCCATATCCCTATCTAGCCGTTATCTGCTCAGCCAGTAATCCTGTGATGTAGTGCTTTGCCCTCACACATCCGGGCTTCCTTTGCCCACACTTGACGTCACAAGATCCTCGAAGCGTCATGTCACCATGGAAACGAATCATAGAGCTTACGTCTGGTGGAGAGAACGGTGTTCCATTTCCGCTCATGTGCTCGCTGGTCCTTGGTAGGTACTCGTGGTGTCCTGCGCTCGTACTGTGGCGGACTTCCAGCGGGAGTGCGGGGATGGCGAAGAGCAAGTTTGAGTACGTGAAGGAGTTCGAGGTGCAGGACACCTGCCTGAGGAATTGCTGGGTGGTGGTCAGAGTGGATGGAAAGAACTTCCACAGGTGAGACATGTGCCGCTCTGAGTTCATTCATTGGCAGTGTATGTGGGTCATGGGGGCAAAAACCACAGACTGGGAGAGCTCTCACTACTAAGAGTACATGCAATGGTAAACAGGGCTAGGCAACCTTCAGCACTTCAGAAGTTGTGCTCAACATAATGCTGGCAAAGCATCAAGGGAGATGTAGTCCACAGCATCTGGAGTGCTGGAGGTTGCATATACTTGCTAGTACTTGTACCTGGTTAGAGTGACTGAGAAGCAAATTCCATGCCAGTGCTCGCATTGCCCCATAACTTTATTTCATGGCCACACTTATTGATGGCTATTACCCTCCCACCAGGGGCATCACTAGGGAGGTGCAGACTGTACCTGGTGACACCATCATGGTGTGATTCTTTTGCTCCCACCAGCAGCCCCAAATTCTGAATTGCTAGTTCTGTGCTGCTTTCCCTGCCCAGTCAGTGCCATCAGTTTTGGCTAGGAGCTGCCGAGACTCCGCAAGCAAGCCAAGAGTTTCTGGTTTTATCCTCTACTTTGTGCCAACCAGGTGTATGGCTCACGCAAGCTCCGGTCAATTCAGGGCGTGACCACGGTTTATTACAGCAATGCTGTGATATTTTTATTAACTAAAGTGAGCATTCAAAGTGTATTTATAATTTAAAGCCAAAATAGCAAAATTGGTCTAAAAATTTTAATTCACTTTGAATACTCACTTGTGAATAAACCTGTATGAGGCTTGAGCTAGTGAGAGCCATTACACCAAACAGCACGCTGGCTTTCGATTATGTGATGATGTTGTTGCTTACCTGCATATGTTGATTCTGCACCCAGGCAGGGGAGTTGTAGCTGGAGAGGCAAATATTCCAGAAATTCTGAAGCCATATGAGAAAAAGCTCTTACAAATTGAAAGCAATTTTGTTAACTGGGAACACAAAATTTTTTTATTTTAAAGTATTATGCTTGTAATAAACCTCTAGATTATTCAGTAAATAAAATAAATGTGCCCTTTAAAATAAATAAATAAATGATTTTTACCAATGGAACACCAAGGTCTGGGTATGTTAAGATTATGTGTGAATTATAAGGAATCTCCTTTGCCAATACATAAAAACAGACATCCCAGAACCATGAAAAACAGAAGAAACCATAAAGAACACTATAGCATTAGGAATGCAAATCTGTCTAAAAACTCTATATTGTCTTTGTCCCCTACTCTTATTTAGCGATCATTCACTCACCCCAGTGAATTTAAAAAAATGTTTTATTCACCATTTTCAAGCGCTGATGCTGCTCACTTCTCCTCCTCCCACAATGTTATGGATTTGGCATTGTCTCTTCTGGCATTGTCCAATCCAATGCTCCTCTTGGAGGAGCCCCGTATGCATTCATACTTCCCTATATGCTGCAATGTGACCAGTTTTACTTGGTCAGTACTACTGAAGTGCTTCTAGTGGCTGTCATACTTACAGTCACTAGAGGTGTACTTAACCCTGCAATATAAGCATTGCACTTTATAAAAAAAAAAAAAAACTGAAATCTTTTACATTGCAGGGTTAAAATTACAGGAACACTGTTCCCTGACCACTGTATTGAGTAGTCCACTATGGTTCCAGTTCAGCTATTTTGACTTTAAGTTTACCATTTCCCCCAGCAGTTAGTAGGTCTGGATGTTGGTCTCACAATTTTACTGAGGAGGAAGAAAAGAGAAAAGGTCGATTTAGCCCAATTGGAAAAATTCTCTTAGTCAGCGATGCTTCCAGTTCGACTACTGTGTCCTTAAAATTTGAAATTCACTTTAGTGAATAACCCTGTTAATATTTGAATTATATACCAGGATTTGCTTGTTTTCAGGGTACAGGAATTGTAACCATTTTAGATTTTACATAAATCCACATAAATAAGTACAAGTCTGCATGTTATATTGTATATATCATTATTTTCCCTCTTATAACAGGTTTAGTGAGCAGCACAATTTTACCAAACCCAATGATATCCGCGCTCTTCAGCTCATGAACCGATGTGCCAAGAATGTAATGAAAGAGCTGGATAATATCTGCATAGCATACGGGTCAAGTGACGAGTACAGCTTTGTCTTTCACAAGAATTCCAACTGGCACAAAAGAAGAGCTAGGTAAATTCTTACATCCTCCAGGGTTTACTTTTTTGTCTACTTGATGATTTAAACAGTAGTAGGGCGCTTTTTTTTGTGTGTGTATATAATATCATGAGGAACTACACATTCATTCCACCAGGCTGGATTTGATTTCAAGTAAGGACCACTAGAGCAGTGTTTCCCAACCCAGTCCTCAAGGCACACCTACCAGTCCAGGATTTAGGGATTACCCAGTTGTCTCTAAGGTTTTTACAAAGAAGAAAAAAAACACCTTAGACACAACTGGGTAATCCCTAAATCCTGGACTGGTAGGTGTGCCTTGAGGACTGGGTTGGGAAACACTGCACTAGAGTAACCCTTGCCGCTTCATCTCAATTAAGTGGCTGGGTACAGTGGTCCTATACTTTTAAAACAGCACTGTCACCGTCTGGGAGCTTTTCTGAATTCGCAAAGACCTGTGACATTGCATCAGGGGGTCCGGAGGCCGGGGGGGATGTAAAGGTGAGATTTGCTTACCTGAACCTGCCCCTTGAGGGTGCCGCCATCTTCCTTGATTTTCCCCTCTATAACTCCTGCAGCTTCAGTCTCATGCTCAAGTTTAAAGTGTTGAGGTCTATGGAGGATTCCATGAGGCCGCAGCATCCTCCATAGACAGCCAATTCCCGGCAGCCATCCCTGGTGGCCGCTGTCGGGACTGACACTAGCTCTGCCCAGAGTCTAAGAATGTCAGATGATGGAAATATATAGAGACAAAATAGTCCCAACTTTATCTCTGTATATCTCTTGACTGGGTTGGAATTAAATTCAGTGGGGGATGGTGGGGCGGGATTTATTGTATACTATCTAATTTAATAGGTTAACTCGTATTTGGAGAACTAGTTGAAGGTGTTCTTTGTATGTACATAGATTTGCAAAATAATAATATGTTTAAGGTCTTTTTGCTACATCATACAGGTTTTGGCAATCCCACACCTGGTGTTAAGGTTATCTTAGACCACACAATAAACACACACAGTTTATTTGTTTCAATGGGCTAGGCCGTGGTGTTTATTTAAAGCTTGAAAGTGGGGCATACCACCATAACTTGAAAACTGTTACATATTCACATAAACTTTTTCACTTTACTTCCAAAACGTTTAACTTTCACCATCACTTAATTGCCAGTCAGTCGCAGTTAACCTGACCGCCTTTTATATACAACCATTTAACACATATCCTTCCTCAGAACATGTACTTGAGGATGACTTTGCCCCAAGCTTTTTAACACCACAGCATTAATTATAAAGAAAGTTAACAAATAGGGGAGGGAGGGCGGGGGTCCGTCCGTGCTTCTCCTGTCCTGCAAATAGCTGACAGGGATTGCGCTCGCGCTGCCACCTTTTATTCTTACCTGGCTTTCCTTGCTTCGCTGGCTCACGGCCAGCAACCAATCCTCAGCCAGCTCTTGTCCCCAGCAACAGCTGTGTCACTAAATCTGCCCAGCTACTTGTCCCACTCTGCCCAACAACTGAACCAGGGGTCATGAACTCTCTAAACTTTCCCTAACTGTACTAACAGGAAAACTAACCCTCTATTGCCACCATACATATATGCCACAGTGCTTAATGCCTGTGGCATCTTTTTTGAATAGTTAGAACCATTTGTTGGAATACTACCCCAATCTCTCCATAAATATTCTCACTTTATGTCAGGCAGATGTGTGATCACTCATAGCAC